CAACTTTGCAAAACTTATTGAGAAAATTATAAAAACACCACTTCTAAATTTTTTTGATAAACATAATCTGATTAATGAAAAACAATTTGGATTCCAGAAGAACAAGCCTACCCAAGACACAATTTCTTTTTTGGCATCAAAATTAGGCCCCTTATTATTTACACTTTACATTAATAGCAAGCTGAGCTTAAAATCTGAAGGGACAAGCATATGTTTTGCAGACGATACTGCTATCATTTATCCGGATAACAACTCGTGGGATGATCTAAAAGTGAAGGTTGAAAGAGACTTAACAATAATTGCAGACTGGTTCAGACATAAATGCCTAACTATTGACTTTCAAAAGACTATGTTCATGCCATTCACAAATCACAGAAACAAATTACCATCCTTTGTATACACCTTGGGAAAAAACATTATGATGAGGAAGAGAGATGGAAATATACAAAAGTATGTAGGTGCGTGAAAAACACTCGATTGTAGGATCCTATGTGGCAGCGTCGGAGTGTGACGGACAACGGGGTAAAGTAGAAGAGTGATAAAAGAGAGAGATGGCAAAACGGGCGCTGGCGCCTACCGCTTAGACGGATGCGCTCAACAAATGCGATTTGTTTCTCCCATTCGCAGAGTTGCCGATACCAATATGTCATATTTCTAAGAAATCTAAGTCTACCCAAATTTCGGGAAAAATAGCTGCGGATTCCAAAAATGAAAAAAGTTCAAACTATTAAAATTGTATTAATGTTTCATGGTTCAAATCATATTTTTCATGTTTGTATATTGTTGTATAAATGATTTTGTAATCCCTATTCTTGTTGCCAGTAGAGAGACAACAGTATTGAGAGATATCATGGACCGTTAGATAGGGCTACAACTACCATATGACTATCAAATAGTAGTGATAAACAGGGTTTGTTTATAGCACAGTTGCCTGGTGTGCCGAATTGGCGCCTTAGGGGCGATTTGACAACTTTGAAGGACAACTATAACGGTTACTATGGTGCCCGGTATTCGGGAATCTGGCAATACCTGATGATTCCTAACGTTTATTACGCCAGACTGTTTGCTGACTTGCGCAGTACAACATGACAATCAACGTGACTGAGCACCTGGTAACCCTGGTTTAAGGTGTTATATTTAAAGAGCTTGGGGCAGTTAGGTATCTAGGTCACATTTTTTAATGTATTTCGAGAAATCCGTAACGTTAAGTAAATACTAGTCACGTTTCTTGCTTAGTTTGCTGAAAATTCTACAATAGACGTACATTTTGAGAAACAGAGATTTGGTGACGACAAAATAGTAAAAATATAACGCATTTTCGTAAAATAATTTCTTTGTTGAAAAGACTGTGGCTTGATGACCCATTGAACGAGTATAGTGTCCCGCTCCGCTTTGAATATTCGAAACACTATAATCCAGCAGCATTCAGCTTCAATGTTATCTTTATGAAGTTTTAACGTCTAGGCCATGCTGATTAAAAGCTTGAATGAATCAACACTTAACTCTAAATTCCCCACAATTCGGGAAGCTCTACTCAAATTGGCAACACAGCGTATCTGCCTATTATTCTCATTCGTGATACAGGTCTGCGGTTAACGGTAGGAAATATGTACGAATAGCGATGAAAGTAGACGAGCCGATGCGCTGTTGCCAAGACATGATTTCCCATGTATAACAATGGTTTTCCTAAGGTGTATATACAGATTAACTGTGATAATATAAGTACTCAAATAAATTTAACAAACAAAATAAAATATTTAGGTGTATATTTAGACTCACATTTAAAGTGGAATATACATATTGATCATGTAATAACCAATTTGAGACCATTATTGTTTAAATTCAAATATCTAAACAAATATTTAGATATAAAACAATGATATGATCGAAACTCGTATAAGTTACGCAATGTTCGGTTTGGGTGGAGCACTTAATAACCAAATTAATAAATTAGTAATTATCCAAAAACAATTTTTAAAAATAATTTTTGACAAGCCACTCTTATACCCACCTGATCTGTTGTATTCTTAAACAAAACTATTAGACCCTAGGCAACAATTTTTTTATAAAATCATAAGTTATCAGTTTCACCTTAAAAATAATCTTATTCCGTTAGATCACTTATATCAAACTAGAAACAAAATCAACAACATTAAGCAAACACCTTTGACCTCAAAAAGTATAGGACAAAGATGTCGTACTTACCTTTCCAGAAGATTATATAACATATTACCAACTTATATAAGAAATATTTCACATAAAACAAAATTCAAAATTGAAACCAAAAAATTTATAATTGAAAAATATCGACATCAAATTGCAAAACACATATGAAAGGAATTTAAAATTAATGCAGTAGTAAAAAACCTCCATCGTGCATACATATGTATATACAGGGTGACTTCGAAGTTGAGTAATTTATTTTAACAGTGAGTAGATCTGATCAAAAGAAATGTTTTTTTCCTTTAACATTTTTCTGGTAAAATTAAAGTAACAAAGTTATAGCCCTTTAGAAGTTTGAGTACCGCCCTGTCTCAATAATAATATTATGTGCTCGTGTTTGGCAACAACTGATATAATCCGCCTTATCCGTTCATCGCATCGGAAACAAAAAAGCGAAAGAATTTGAAACGATGTTTTTACTACAATGTACAATTTTATTCAGTTGTATTCAGTCGATGTGTCAGTCGGTGTTTGTTGCGTGGCTCAAACGAAATAAAAAATGGCACATATTTACGAAAATGCTGTATGTAGTACAAAGGACTCGTGAATCAGGTGACTTAAGACCTCACAGGGGAGCGCATGCCGGTGCTCCAAGACAGCACGATCAAATACAGGTCCGCACTGAAATACTTGTCGGGAGGATACTTTATAAAACAAGGTAACATTTTTTTTTATTTTTACACACATATTTTGGTTTATCTTCCTTCTACAATCATTATCTGAAAATTAATGACTCAACTTCAAAGTCATCCTGTATAGATAGGTACAGGTGTGAATCTGTATAGGTGTATGTGTATGTATGTGCATGTGCATCTATTTATGTGTTTATTTATATGAATATATGTGTAGGTGTGTATATATTTTTATAGGGGGAATCCGGGAGACTTGCCTAGGTGGGAGACTTGCCCCTCCATGATATATTTACTTTAAAATTGCGCACCATAATCCGAAACGAGAGAAAACGGGACGCCCTCTATCTAGTGCTTCTACGTGTCTACAAAATCCTAGTTGACTTTCCTCAGTTTGTTTTCTATCTGACCCGAGGCATGTGGCTTTTAAACCAAAATTTAATACTTTTACAAATTTCGTGATTTTGTGGGCAAATTAAAAGGTAAGTTTTAGATTCTTGTGTGGGTGTATTAATTAGACATTGTAGATTTATGCACCATAAATGTTAAACGTGCTCTATTCATGATTTTTAAGAAAATTGAACCTAACCTTAACAAGAAAGGTGTGGGAGACTGGCCCATACCTCAGGAGGGAGACTTGCCCAGAGGGGCAACTCTCCCTTTCTGATGTAATTCTAAATTGGTATTTGTTTTTAATTAATTTTAGTAAAAGTTAATGCATTTTTTTTATTACAGGTCTGTACAATGCCATTTAAGTACAAAACAAAAGACGGTTCCACTCGCAAAAAACTTGATAAGGATGTTCTTAAAAATGCACTAGTTGAACTAGCCAAAGGTACTTCTCTTTGAAAAACTGCAAAATATTATATTGATCGGAGGTCTTTGAGACGCTACAAAAACAATGAAAATAAACTTGAAAAAATAGAAACTAAAGGCCAGTATAATACTTCACAAATATTCACCATACAAGAAGAGAAGCTTCTGGTTGAATATTTTTTAAATTGCAGCAAAATGCACTATAGACTTACTCGAAAACAAGGAATGAAATTAGCCTTTGAGTCTGCAGTTTCGAATTCCAAAAAAATTCCAGAAAGTTGGTCAAAAAATAGTATGGCAGGGAAAAATTGGTTTCGCGGTTTTTTATCAAGAAATCCCGAAATTAGTTTAGGAACTGCGGAGGCAACAAGCTTGTCACGATCTACAAGCTTCAATCGGAAGAATGTAAACGATTTTTTTCAAATCTTAAGGATTGTACGAGAATGTACGAGATGTACTACAGTTCAGGATTGTCCTAAGGTATTGGCTAGTAAAAAAGCTAAGCAGGTTGGTCAAGTTACTTCACTTTGGTGACAGTTTGTTTTGCAGTCAATGCAATTGGAAGCGTTATTCCCCCCTTTTTTATATTCCCTCGTATCAAATATCAAGAAGACTACGTTTCTGATGGCCCAGAAGGTTCTAATGGGGATGCTTATTCAACAGGATGGATGGCTGCTAGAAGCTTTCTGAAGTTTATGGAGCATTTCAAAAAATATAGCAACGCGTCACCAGAAAATCCTGTTTTGCTCATATTTGATAACCATGAAAGCCGCGTGAGCAGTGAAATTGTAAAATTTGCTAAGGAAAATGGGATTACGTTGTTAACGCTGTCTCCGCATTGTAGTAACAAGATGCAGCCATTAGATGTGGCCGTCTACTCCCCACTTAAAGTAATATACAATGCTGCATTAAGTAACTGGATGATAAGTAATCCTGTAAGGAATTAAGCAAACTCCTCCTATTCAAATCGCTGTAAATTTGGAAAATATAAATGAAAACGCACCCAACGAAATTCCCTCAACTTCTGCTATTACAGAAGCAGAAATCATGCAAACTACACCTGAAAAGATGGCTGTAAGTACGACAAATATAAGTAAGGACATGCCTACAAATATATTTGATAATACACCCAGAAATACACCATCTAAAGCTACATCCTCTTCTCTCATAACACCTGAGATGATAAGGCCATTTCCAAAAGCCGGTCCTAGAAGGACAACAAGGCGTAGCCGTTAACCAGGAAAAACTAAAATATTAACCCAAAGTCCAGAGAAGGATGAAAACTATGATAATTACCAACATAAATCACCAATAGAAAAAACTAAATAAAAAATGGATCAAAAAAACAAGGCAAGCAAACTTAAAAAAAGAGTGATGGACACTATTAAAGAAACTAAAAATGAAGAAACAAAAAAGACAAAAACAACATCTAAGAATGAAACAAATAAGAAGGCTAAATGGACAATAGATGTATCTTCAAGTGATAGTGGAACTGATAATGATAAGACATCTTAGGCTGAAAGTTCTGATGATGATCAGTGGGCAGAACCTCCAGATAAAGATGACAACTGGTACTGTTACATTTGTCAAACTGACGATATGCTTGATATGAGGCTTTGTATTATTTGTAAAATATATGTCCATGAAGTATGCGTCGGGCTAACAAAATCAGATACCGAACTGTTTAAGTATCATGAGTGTGAATAATATCTTTGTTCATATTAGACTTTTGTTTACTTTTATTTTTCATTCTTACTTTCATAATTTTTTAAAATTATTTTCATTTGTTTTTTGCATTAAACTTATGTTTATTCTGATCTCAAAGATTTAGATATAGTTTCGTTATTGAATAAGTAAAGTTTTTTGTTTTATTTTTTGAGTTTTTCGAATACAACTGTTATTATTTACATTTTTTTTTATTTAATAAGGGGGTGGGCAACTCTCCTTCTGACTATGGGCAAGTCTCCCGCATATGTGGGAGAGTTGCCCATGTTTTCAACAACATAAAAAAACTATATATACGTATTTTTTTTCTGACTTATTTTTTTAAGGTTCAAATAATAAAACAAGGTTCCTAAAAATATATGCTACGAAGTCATCTAAAATTTATTAATTTATATAAATAGGAACAAATTTTATCACCAATAATAAATTGGAAGGGGCAAGTCTCCCGGACTTCCCCTATATACGTATATATGAGAAGTAGTCATTGCCAAAGCCAACGACTAGTTGGGTACAAAATACAATTACTTGTTAGTTGGGAAATTGGCAAAATTTTTAGGCTAAAGCTGACTCTGACGATAAAATCAAGCTTTCGGCATTCTCTATGGAGCCATCATCAGGATTTCGTCGGTGAGGTTGCAGCCACAAGGTGTTTCAGAAAGAACGTAGAGAAGATCGAACTTGTGTTTAGTATAAAAACAAAAGGACGGTGACATTGGGCTTGTTAAAAACGACAGATACCTTCGTTAAAAGTTAAGAAAAAACCTTTTTTCAACAAAATGTTTCCCCACGTGTAATATTTTTAGCTTGTTCGGGTTTATTGATATAATTTTTATTTTTCTTAACTTTTAACGAAGGTATCTGTCGTTTTTAACAAGCCCAATGTCCCCGTCCTTTTGTTTTTATACTGAACACAAGTTCGATCTTCTCTACGTTCTTTCTGAAACACCTTGTGGCTGCAACCTCACCGACGAAATCCTGATGATGGCTCCATAGAGAATGCCGAAAGCTTGATTTTTTCGTCAAAAGAGTCAACTTTAGCCTAAAAGTTTTGCCAATTTCCCAACTAACAAGTAATTATATATATATATATATATAGAGAGAGAGAGAGAAAAAATAATCATGCGGAGAAATGTATAGATATAACAAAAAATAGGAAAATAATGGGCAAAATCGGCAGAAAAGAGGGAAGTGGATTCGAGCTGAAAATAGGATAGGTAACCCGAGCGATACTTTTTTGTTATACATATATATATACAGGGTGTTCCATAATTATTGCGACAAAATGATAGGGGTTGTAGAGGGCATCAAAATGAACAATTTTTCCTTATAAACCCCTGTTCGGAAATATGCCGTTTGGGCTGCAGCAAAAAAAAGATCAGTTTCTTGAAACAGCTTACCTACAGTAATTGCTCAAAGTGTCCTCCACCTTGCTCAATACACAGCTGTGCACGATTGTTCAATGATCGGCGAACTCTGTGGCATACCCCCGGTATGTCCTGAACATGTGCGGACGCGGCCATCACTCTTCCCAGTAGCTCTTGTTGGTTGGGAACAGGAGTTTCGTACACTAAAGCTTTCAGATAGCTCCAGATAAAATAATACAGTGTGGTCAGGTCAAGTGACCGCGCAGGCCAAGGCACAGGGCCACCTCGGCCTATCCACCTATTTGGAAATTTGTCGTAAAATACTGCCGCACTTGTAAAGAAAAGTGGGCTGGACCGCCATGGTGTTGAAACCACATGTTGGCTCGTATATTCAGTGGCACATTTTGTAATAGTTCCGGTAGCACATGCTGTAAGGATCGACCATAAGCATGCCCATCCAAACGTGGTGGAAGCAGATATGGCCCGATGATATGCTCGTCCACAATGCCGCACCAGATGTTAATTGAAAACTGATGTTGGTCTCTATGGATGGCTATGGCATGAGGGTTTTCTTCATCCCAAATGTGACTGTTATGGCTATTAAAATAACCGTCCTTTGTAAAACAGGACTCGTCAGTGAACAAAACGTAGCGACCAAAGTTTGGTTGCCTCAACTCCTGCTGCAGCCACCAACGGCAAAAACGTCGACGCGGCAGATAGTCTGCTGGACCCATGGCTTGGACTTTTAAAAGGTGGTACGGGTGTACGATAACAAAAATGTAAACACAGCAGGCTTTTTTTACAAACCGGTGAGACCATGAAATGTGCTAGACGAACATTTTGCAGCTGGTGAATTTTTTGTTTCTCCTATGAGCTCTTAAGGTAAAATTAACTGTAGTGCTCAAACGGCATATTTACGAACAGGGGTTTATAAGGCAAAATTGCATATTTTTATGCCCTCTACAACCCCTATCATTTTGTCGCAATAATTATGGAACACCCTGTATATATGTAAATATTTATGTAAAATGTAAGTTAATACCCACGCTCAAGAATTTATTCTTCTGCGGGTAAACTCAGTTTATTTACCTATGCCTATGTTAGTTTCAGTTATAACTGTATGTTACGTGAATAAACATATTATTATTATTATTAATTGAGAGATATGTTACTTACCAAATAGCTAGAGTAATGAACAGCTCAGAAGTTAACGAAGCGCAGTGACCGAACGTTAAGTTGACTGTGAAATCTTATCTTTTGGAAAACAATAATCTTAAGTTTTATATACATTTGAGTTATAATTATTGTTTCATTCATAAATGATGTTAGATGTTATATCACTTAGGTTGAGTGGAAGAGTACAATTTGTGAAATCCGCCTTTTGTAGTGAACTAATAAAATAATTTATTACTATTACAGTATAGCCCACACGACGTACATCTGAAAAACTATTTTGACCGACAATTTGCAAACGCAGCCGTCATACTGTGTCCACAATTAAGATTTTTTAAGAATCGATATCTAATTCCGTCAATCCGCCGTTTTGAACTATGACAAATGGATATCTTATTCGTAATCAGCCACCTGAAAAACGTAGAAATGGATTTTTTGTAACATTTAGCGAATCTTTTTAATTTTGGCCATATTTTACGACTTTTGTGTCGATCGCATAGTATATTTAATCATTATCATGTGGATTAGTGGATTCGGCACGCAGTAGTCCTTCCATTTTATTTATTGTATATCTATAATACCGCACAGCAGTTTATGCCAAGATACAAACAATATATTGCGAGGTCAAAACAAAATGAGATGCCTTCATCTGCCCGACCAAGAAAATAAGACAGCCAACCATGGACAGCTCTTTCGTGCTTCTTAGCTACTGATCAGCATGGTCATAGGCTTGGTCTTTATCAGTATGCATTATCCCACCAGAATCGAACCACTGTAAATCGCGTACCACTGCCATTAGTTGGAACCGTCGCAGGTCACGTTCACTAGCAGTGTCGCTAAATGGCTGATGATTCTGGCAAAATGCAGAGGGGTCTGCTAGCCTCATTGAACAGGTCAAAACAAAATGAGATGCCTTCGTCTGTCCGACCAAGAAAAGAAGACGGGAACTACGACGGTTCCAACTAATATCAGTGGTACGCGACTTACAACGGCTCGATTCTGGTGCGATAGATTGCGCTTCGCGCTATCTCATGCTGATAAACCGCACATCCGGTGTAGAGGATCAATGTGATGCTTTCGTTTGCTCATCCAGAGATAAGAGACCAAGCCTATACCATGCTGATGAGTAGCTAAGAAGCACGAAACAGCTGTCCATGGTTGGCTGTCTTCTTTTCTTGGTCGGACAGACGAAAGCATCTTATTTTGTTTTGACCTGTTCAATGAGGCTAGCAGATAGACCCCTCTGCATTCTGACAGAATCATCAGTCATTTAGCGGCACTGCTATTGAACGGGAACTGCGACGGTTCCAACTAATAGCAGCGGTATGCGATTTACAATGGTTCGATTCCGGTGCGATAGATGGCGCTTTGCGCTATCTCAAGCTAATATGTTGTGACTGGCCAGCTTGAGCGCTAAGCATGAGTATATATGCAAGGGCCGTCATGTCGTCTGGCTGCGTCAGTGCTATGGTCCATAAGCTGATCTTATGTCATATGACGTCACACAGAAAATGTCATAACTTTATCATAACAAATTTTAAGTTATCGGAATAACTCTTTCGGATTTGTGATAGATACCAGTTATACCATTATATGCAGAATTTTAGACTATAGGAAACTTGCTTATTGAATTGTAAAATATTTTCATTATCGTATAGATTTGAAGCTCTGCAAAGCTGGATCTAAAGACCGTCTATCACGATACGAAATTTTGGCATAATTTTGTGAGAAAATTCGTTACTGAATTTAGTTCCCAGTTTGTTTACAAATTACAATCCTGTCTATCACGTCACGAAATATTTGTACTAAATTTTGTACGAAATCATGCTAAGTTGGTGGAAAAAAACTTTAACTGTCAACCTCTGACTGTCATTCATCACGTCAAAGTCGCACACTTTCCTTTACGGTTGCTATTCTATTCCTTTGTCTTTAAACGACTAGAAAATTTTAGAAAATGCAGCGGTCCTGTAACTCGCGTATATTATATAGCAGCGATCTGCGTTGTAGCTGCCCACCTTATGAGAAAACGAAGTAAACGAAAAAGTAAAGAACTTGGTGCCGAAAATGGATCAGGGACTGAGACCAGGGCATACGTGTGCTTGTCATTCTGATTTTATCCAACGCAGCTTATTTGGCTTTTCTGTTTTTATATGCCTTGCTTTTTACAGCATATAAACAATCATATTTCTCATACTCGCTTAATAGTATGTCATACTGCTCTTTTGATTGATGACATCTTCTAAGTTTTCAGTC